AAAAAAAAAAAAAAAAAAAAAAAAAAAAAAAAAAAAAAAAAAAAAAAAAAAAAAAAAAAAAAACACAAAAAAATGAGCGAGGAAATTATGGGCTGGCCACTTGAGTCAGAGTATTACAAGGAAATTCCACGTGTTCGCTGACGTGGGCTACGCGACTAAATGAGAATCCGAAGCCAATGCGGTTTTGGGCTTTGGCTCCAATTATTCTTATTGATTCGGAAAATTAACTAACCCGTCCCCCGAATTCTCCTTTTCCTTTTTTCCTTTTTTTCCTTTTGACAACAGTTCCTCGCCACCGTCGTTTTCCTCCGTCGTAACCTCTGTTTAGAACTGGTACCTCCGATTCTGCGAAGGCATTGCCTTTTTCTCTTATTCTGAACGCTCATATGGAAGACTGTGTTAAGCAGGAACCCGCTGAACCTTTACGTGCGCAAGAAACAAGCAACAATCACGAGGTATCAAATGTGTTTCCCGCGTTTATTGAGCTTAGCAGTGACAGCGAGTCGGATTCCGAAGATTCCGAGCAGGAAGTAGTTGACGGGATTTTAGGAGGAGTTACGAGAAGCATCGGACTCCCGAACGGCGTAGATGGAGGATTTTTGAAGAAGAGGAGGCTGAACGAGTTGGGAGTTATTTTGCCTCTAGGTTTTCTTCCGCCCGCGGCGCTCGCTGGAACAGATGTCGTGGCGGTTCCTTTGCCCCCGTCAGAAGAGCCGGGCACGGGACAAGTGGCGAGGACTTCGAACGCTAATGCTTCTGCTTGTAAACAGTTTTGGAAGGCAGGAGATTTTGAAGGAGCTCCTTGTAGTAACTGGGAGTCATCGTCGGGTATGTCTTATTACCATGCGTTCCCATATTGAGTCCCATCATTCCGAAAGATAAGTTTAAAATTTAGCCAAGTTTAATGAATTCGGAATGCTATTTCCAATATCTGGAATTGAGAGTTCATCTTTTATGGAATCATCTTCGTTCTCATATGTCAATACTTAGGATGAAGGTTCTCATATACATAGCAATTTTATTTTTCTTATTTTCCAAAGAGGGGGAAAAGGGGGGAAAAGCATAAAAAAGAGTGACAGCGCGATAATGAAGCCAAAGATGAGAGAAACTTCCATTGAAAGAGAACTCAAATATTCATATTGGTATGAGTTACCTGGAAAGCCATCCCAAAAAACTGAAGTTTCTGTTGTTATCTTTCTAGATTGACGGATGTTGTCCTTTTGGATTGATGACTTGGCGGTGTTATCTTCCTGAATTGATACACAATGATATTTTTATCACTTTGTAGCTTATAGAAGCATCTAGATTATCTTTTGTGGGGCTACCAATGCTTATTCCCCCGATGGAGTTGATGCTTTGGATTGTTTGGGTTGCACTGATGTGTGTCATAGATTGTCTCTCTAGCTCTAATTTCATTGCACAGCTTCGTGGCAAGTTGCCTTGGAGTGTGCTACTGATTTGCTGATAAATCTTTGAATTTAAGCTTAACTCTTTCAAGGATTTTATTTATAGGAATCTAATCTTTCATGTGGTTTCTCCTAAATTTTAAGTTCCATCTCAGATTTTGTTGGTCACGCATCTCCTTCACGTTGATGCTTGGATTCTCAAATCCATAAAGGCTCGAAAACCAGTTTTGAAAATTAAGCTTACTCACCAAACTATCACCCCAAAATTTTATAATGTTTCCTTCCCCCAACTTTTTTTTTGTAAAAAAACTACACATTTCAAACCATTATTTCTGCAAAGCTTCAATCCTAGAGAATAAGAGATAATGGAAGGGATAATCACTTACTCTTTGGTTACAGAATCTAAAAAGAATTATTGAATCTGCCAAGGTCTGCACCTCCATCTTTTTAAGTATTCGCCCTTCTATTATTTCTATCAAATAGATTTGCTTAAACTTCTGCAAATCTGATTTTTTTTTCACATTCATTATTGTTAATCCTGCCTTAAGTTTTATGGCCCCTCACCATTATATTTATAGAATTTACTGATAAAGATATCTATTAAAAAGAAAATAAAATTCCTTCCTTTATCGAAATAGAATAAAAGGATGTTAATTTAATTTGGCACTGGGAATTTGCTGTTGCAAATGTTCTTTGAAAACTTAATCGATCTTCTTCCCATTCTTCTGTTGGTATTTAACTTTGATTGTATTTATGTCTCACGCTTAACTCTAATTCTGCTGTAGGTGGCATGGACCACGTTAGGGTTCATCCCAAGTTTCTGCATTCTAATGCGACCAGTCATAAGTGGGTTCTCGGAGGTAAGAATGCTTGACACAAAAATGGTTTCTGAAAGTCCCATGAAGTTATATTTTGATCGAGCAATGATTTACATTGGATGTTATACATGGATTTTAAGATATTTGATTCATGCATGCAGCTTTTGCTGAGTTATTAGACAACTCATTAGATGAGGTACCTCACTTTTCCTTCTCATTGTATTTGACAAAAATCATTTCCACTAATATTTTTCCCATCCCTTAACTGAAGGTTTGCAATGGAGCTACTCATGTTAATATAGACGTGCTTGTGAATAAGAAAGATACGACCAGAATGTTACTGATTGAAGGTATTAAGTTTGATTGGTAGATTTTAGTTTTATTTGAATTTTTAATCAGAAACAGAACTAAAATGCTTTTCCATAGAGAGTAACGATTCCTCACTAAAAATATATAAAGTAATGATTCCATTGTCTCAACCTCGTGGGTGGTATCCTCCTCCCTCCTCTCTGTACTTTTTCCCCTCCATTTGTTTGGCAGAGTGGGAGATAAGCACTTGAAATGTGTGTATGGGTGGGTGATAAAAAATGAACACTCCTAGCAAGATAGGTAGAAAAGTGGGAGAAAAGGTGTCTCCTGGGGTTTGTTTCATCCCCCCTTTCTTGATTGGGATTATTTTGGCATTAAATATTTCTACCTTGACTTTCTCGTTGGTGGGAATCAACAATCAATTTCTCATTTGGAACCTATTGTTGATAAGTAAATCCGAGTTGGATATATAGAGAAGTCTTTTTTAGACAAAAGGAGTCTTTTGTAGACCTGCTCTTGCTCTATCAATCAAACCTTGATATCCTAGCAAGGGTGCTAATTCCTTGAAAAAGATGGTAAGGGAGTTCATTAGATGAAGGCAACTATTGTCATGGTACCATTTAGTTAAATGGAGTTAGACCTCCCTTCTTACATCTCAAAGAGGGCTGGGACTAAGGCGTTTGAGTTAAAGAAATGGACAAGGCTTCTCAAATGAAAAGTTGATGTGGACTCCTTCATCAACTTGAACAATTCTTCTGACTTTGTTTGAGGCTATGTCAGAGCTGAAGATTAATGGACGAACTTGCCAATTTTTGGGTCTAAAATGTGATATTGATAAGTTGAATAGATGGGCTTCTTTGGTTGGGTGTGATGTTGGGTCGATTCCTTCATCTTATTTTGGCTTCCTTTGGTTCATAGCCTTAGAAACAGTTTGTTATGGGTTCTTATTGTAAGATTCAAGGGTTTCATCTTGGAAGAAAAGATTCTTTTTGAAAGGGGCCAGAGTCACTCTCATTCCGTCTATGTGGAGTGATATCTCGAGCAAGTTACCTATTTCTTTTTAGTATTCTTGTGTTTGTGAGTACGCCCCTAGAGAAGCTTATGCGGGATTTCCTTTGGGGAGGGATTGGTTAAGGGAAAGGGTTGCATTTAGTTAGGTGGAGGGTGGTGACATAACTTGTTCATGAAGGGGGTTGGATATAGGAAATTTAAGGGCCTTAATAGTGCGTTCCTAGCTAAATGGCTTTGGTATTTGTATCTCTAGTCTAATTCCCTATAACAAAAAGTTATTGTGAGCAAATATGAGTTGAGGGGCTTCCTTTTTTTCTTAGTTTGTTTCGTGGGTGATGGGAGAGATATTTATTTCCAGGAGGGGGATAACCCCTTAGCTCCATCACTTGTCCCTTTAGATCCTTCTTCTGTATCATTTATCCTCGATGAACTTTTCGATGGTGAATGTGTATCCAGGCTCTATGATCTTTCTTTCTCTCGTTTAGGGGTCCCATCATTCTTGTTTGATGGAGACACGTTGGTTGTTGTTGCCCTCCTCACATTGACAGGGGTGTTCAGGGGAAGGGATATTTGTGTTTGGAGTCCTTATCCTTCCAAAGGCTTTTCTTGTAAATCCTTATTTCCTTGCTTGGTTAATCTCTCCCTTGAGTGTCTTTGCCTTGTTTTGGAAGGTGAAAATTTTGAAGAAATTGGATGCCCGCACTATTGCAGACTTTCGTCCTATATGTCTCACGGGTGGCCTATATAAAATCATAGCAAGGGTATTATTAAAAAGGTTCTCCCCTTCGCAATAACGGGGCAACAAACAACATTTGTTGAGGGGCGACAAATTCTTGATGCATCCCTCATGGCAAACGAACTCATAGATGAGAATGGGAAAGAAAAATTAAAAAGGTGGTCATCAAACTTGATATGGAAAAGACCTTCGACAAGGTTGAGTGGACTTTCCTCAAAAACATTCTTGTGGCAAAAGGCTTTGTCTCAAAATGGCGAAGGTGGATAAAAAGGATGCATCTCATCCACAAACTTCTCCATCATCATCAACGGAAGACCGAGAGGGAAGATTTATGCCACATGAGGTCTCCGACAAGGAGATCCACTATCCCCTTTCATCATGGTAATGGATTGCCTCAGTCGCGTCCTGGAAAAAAAGCAGAATGCGAAGGGAAGATAAAAGGTTTTCAGAGTGGGTAATGAAGGCTTAAGCATCAACCACCTTCAGCTTGTGGATGACATAATCCTCTTTTTTGACTTGGCAAATGTCTCTTCCATAAAAAAAAAACATGATCGAGACGGTAAAAACCTTCGAAGGATTCTCTGGACAAAATATCAATCTCTAAAAAACAGAGAGCAAGGGCATTAATATTAGCACGGAGATTATTGAAGAATTTGCTAGCATACATAGTTATAAAAAGGGAGAATGATCGAATAGGTACCAAGGACTACCTCTAAAAGGAAACCATAAATGAAGATTATTATTGATAAAATAGACAGGCAGAAGACTCACCCTAATACAAGCCATGTTATCCAACCTCCCCACCTACTACATGTCTCTATTTGAAATGCCACAAAAAGTGGCTGCGGATATAGCAAGATTATTCAGAAACTACTTGTGGAAAGATGGCTTACACCTTGATAGATGGAATATTATAAACCTCCCAACAGAAAAGGGAGGCCTTAGTCTTTTCTCGATAAAGAAGAAGAACAAAGCCTTCCTCGCCAAATGGATATGGAGATATAATCACGAAGAAAAGACCTTGTGGAGAAATCTTAAAAAGGCCAAATGTACTCCTACATGAAACAAAAGTCAACCCCTGCCATCTTCTACGAAAGGGCCTTGGAAGTACATAAAGAAACAACAAAACCTCATCACAAACTGAACTTTCCATAGGGTGAGTGTGGAGGAAGCACATCATTTTGGGCCGACCCATGGATTGAAAATACCACGCTAGCCATGAGGTCCACTTTTGACAGGCTCTCTCATAGCAAAAAAGCCACGATCAAAGAAACGTGGAAGTTGTCGACAAATTCTAGGACCTGAAGCTTCGTAGGAATTTAAAGGAAAATGAAGCAATGAAATGGGCCGAATTAAGCCTTGATCTTGTCCTTGTGGTATTGTCAAACGAAACTACAAAATCCTTGATGATGGACATGGGGAAAAAAGTAGAAGCAATAAATCACACACTAACAAAGGCTATGGAAAGGATATCATCCTATGAATGTGAAGTTATTCCTTTGAGAAATAGCGCATAAAGTCATTAGCAAGAAAGAAAATGAATCACAAAGCCACTTATTTATGCAATGTACATATGCTCAAAATTTCTGGACAACGATTCTCAATATATTCAAATGACATCTCAAATTTCCTTGGACAACGGTTCTCAATATATTCAAATGACATCTCACATTTCCTAGGGAGGTAAAGGATCTATTGGACATGGCTTTAACGTACTACCCTTTCAAAAGCCCTACCATGAAAAAATCTCATCATGGTTTTCTTTTGGAATTTGTGGAAAGAAAGAAATTAGAAAATATTAGCAGAAAAAGACACAAACTTATACAATACTTTTTGTCAGTGTTGTTTACCACTGTCTAATATTTTTACAATATATACCACTGTCTAATATTTTTACTATATAGGAAAATTAGAAATTGGATTTACGTCCTTGAAAAAGATAGACTGATTAACTTGGGTGAAGGGCAAGACAGGATGTTGCGGTCACTTGATTCTGCTGCTATGTTCTCTTCCAATCTGCTATCCTCCATCTAACCAAATCTGAGAACAAGTGAAACCCCCCCTTGCCGAAAATTATTTGGAAGTTCAAGGTCCCTAAAGAAGTAAAAATCTTTTTTGGTTACTTTGCTATGGAAGCCTGCCGATAAACTCCAAAAGAAATTCTCTAAATGTCCCTTAGTATTGCATCTGTAATAAGAAAGGCGATTCCTTAAATTATATATTTTTTTATCACGGCCCCACTTGCTCTCAAGAGGTGGGTGACTTTTGCTGAAGGAGTTTGGTCTATTTTTTTTTTTTTTTTTGGTCCCCTTAGCATATAAATGATTGGGTTTTGGAATGTCTTGTGGGTTTTTGTGACAAAGCTAGCTTTCCTCACCAATGTGCAATAAAAAAGCGAGAGCCCATCATAAGGGAAGCTTATAGAAGCCTATAAAAGGGGAACTGATTACAAAAAAAATAGGAATTATGAAAATGTTGTCCATCTTTGAAGAATAACTGAAATGATAATAATAGAATTCCTTGGTCTCATACATCCAAAGAGAGACGTTGATCCTCGTTGTTGACCACATTTCTCTCAAGGACTCCCAACTTATATTTTTCTCAAGCCAAAGTTCCAAAATGTGCCATACTTTTAGGGCTCCCCTGTCTTGACGGCAGGTGGAACCTTCATCGTCAGACAATAATGACAAATTTTGTTCCCAGCCAAAAGACAACAAGTTGGTGTTATTCTTCTCGTATCTACATAATATATAAAGACAACAAGTTGCAGTGTGCTTTCAGACCTGTCTTCTATAGAGGTGTAGACCCCTGAAGATGTTGTTCTTTCTCAAAAAAGAGGAAAAAAGAAAGAATGATGAAAAGAAACAAAGGAAAGAATGTTTCAAGGGGATGAAACTAATAGTAAATAGGATTTTTTTGGGACCCAGTTAGAGTTTTCTTCTTCTTGGTCTTACGCAAATCTTTGCCATGGGGAATCTTATACTTCGGATGTGTATGAATATCACATCTCCCCTTCTTGTACTTTCTCTGGTAATGAAATTTTCATTTTTGTCGTGTTGGAAGGTTGTGGATTGCTTATAGAAAAATGTCATTTTTTCTGTAAATTTTTATTGCTACATCACTTGTATTTGACTGTGTTGCAGATAATGGTGGTGGGATGAGCCCCGACAAAATGCGTCACTGCATGTCATTGGGCTATTCAGAAAAAAGCAAATTAGCAAACACTATTGGACAGTGTAATTTGCCACCATAAATCAAAAGTTTCATCTTGTAGTTTTTAATCTCTTTTGAAAGCATTTTTATTTCATATCTTCACAGATGGTAATGGTTTTAAGACTAGTACTATGAGACTTGGAGCAGATGTAATTGTGTTCTCGCGTTGTGGAAAAAATGGAAAAAGGTCTGTTTTGTTAGTTCGTTTATTATTTTATATTTTTTTACTCTCCATTTTCTACAACTTTATCATTAGGGCAGATAGTTATGGTAAAACATATCAGAGTTAGAAAACAATCTTTAATTTGTGTTTTCATTCACTCCCTCGAGGGGTTTGTATTTTTATGCATTAGTTTCTTTTCATTTGAAGCCTTCAATGTAAAGTTTTGTCTTCTGTTCAATTATTTTCCTTTAGTTTATCTTCTACAGTGTACTGATTGAACTCTCTCGGCAGTGGCACACAGAGCATTGGATTACTGTCCTATACATTTTTGAGAAGCACTGGAAAGGAAGATATCATAGTTCCAATGGTAATGACATTTACTTGTTTATTTAATCCTATTTATTAACCTTCATTTCAATTAATTATTTCATATATGTATATAAATATATATAGGTATGTCTGAATGTGTGTATTTATATTTTTATAAATTATGAGGGAGAAAAGGATGGAGAATCCACTATTTCTGTTTCACGTGATCTTGGATCAATAGGATGCTATGGATTATTTGTCTATGCATCTAATATGTGCTGTACAACTTGATATGCAAATGCCTCAAGTTTTTCCATGGTTGGCTTTTTATGTTCATAGCCTACCTTCTTATTTCTCTGAAGTTAAACGAGTAGTTAAGAACTTAAGACTTAATAGTTATTGTTGTTGTTGTTGTCATAATTATTTTTATTGTAATTTTTTTTATATCTATGGATTGGTTATATGTTTAAGATGTATGTTATAGAATTAGCCGAAGAAATAATTGCGTTTCATTGGTTTTGGGTAATGGTTGCAGGAAACTAGACCTTTTGATTCGAAAGACTCTTTCTTTCTTCTCTCCTACACCACGTTACTAATTTCTTTTCTAATAAGCTAGCAGAATACTAATTTGTTTACTCTAATAATATTTTTAAAATTTTTTTTCTAGACGTGTCCTGCTCTATTGAAATGATCACTGTTTCTCCATCTCTTGCTTATCATGAAGTCGTTGCTTCATATTGTGCACTGTGCTTTTAAGCACTAGGTCTGTTTGGCTTGAATTATAGTTTTGAATTGGATTATTGGGCACCCGTCTGTTTAGTCGTTAAATTACCTCTGTTATATTTTGATCATGTAAGATAGAAGTAATGTATTTCGAAACTTGTACTCCCACTGATAGTTTATGTACTTGAATTGTAATAAAAGCTTGACTATGAAAGGAAGGGAGGTGAATGGACCAAGATAGTGCGATCTTCTCTTAGTGATTGGAACAAGAATGTAGAAACAATTGTTCAGTGGTCTCCATTTGCCAGTGAAACTGAACTTCTTCGTCAGGTGATGCTTTATTGTTCATTTGGGATATGTTCGTCATATTCATTTTTATATTTTTTTAACTTCTTACAAATTTCTTCATTAGGTTTAGGGTTTCTTTTTGTAGGTTTGGTTTTTTGGATGCCCTTGTATTCTTTCATTTTTTTTTTCTCAATGAAATCTCGATTTTTTATTAAAAAACAATTCTTCATTAGGTGAACTGAGTTCTTGCATGGAGTGGTATTGGTTTGAAGATTTTTCCTGTTCACTGTGGTCATTTTCTTTCATTAGAAAACTAAGCTTTCTTCAGGAAGAATAAAAGATATTTACAGCTTTTCTTTGGATGATATGAGAAGTTGCAGAATCTTAGAGGATTTTTTTTGTGTTGATGGATTTAAAAGGTTTCCCCACAAACGACGGGATTGCACAAAAATCTTCTAATGGGAGATAATTAGAGAAATAGTAGCTTGGCTTAGACGGCTATAATGGAAATTAGTAAGTATTAATCTTCGCATTGTTCTTCTTGGTTAACTGATTATGTTGCTTGGCATGTTTTTCAGTTCTATTTGATGAAAGATCATGGAACTCGCATTATTATATATAACCTCTGGGAAGACGACCAAGGACAGTTGGAACTGGATTTTGATACTGACCAACATGTATACTACATATATATTTTACTTTTTTTTTACCGCATACTAATTTTGTCAGTATCTTTAAATTAATACTTCACCAATATTTTGTTAGTATCTTTAAATTTAATACTTAACCAATATTTTGTTAGGACATCCAAATAAGAGGCGTCAACAGAGATGAGAAGAATATACAAATGGCAAAAAAATTTCCCAACTCCCGGCACTTCTTGACTTATCGACATTCTTTGAGGGTAATGCTTCATGTGACTAACGAGCAGATGTTCCGTTAATTTGGCTTGAATAATTGCCTACGTGGTTTTAACTTCTATTTTTCTGCAACTGCTTGGAATAGTCTTCACTAATTTGAAATTTGGAAACTCAAAATAATGCATTTGGAGTTCATCTTTTAAAGGCGACCAGAAGATGCTGACGATGCTCTGTGAATGGAAGAAAGCAATTATTTTTTTCATTCACTGAGATTAATTAATTCTGTTGATATACAATATAGGTTTTTTTAGAGAGGTTAGAGGTGTTATGATGAGGTTTGGGAGATGGTGAGGTTCTATGCGTCTTTGTGGACGTCGGTATCTAGTCCCTTTTGTAATTATGATCTTGGTTTGATTTTGTTGGATTGAGGTCTATTTATATAGTTAGCTCTTGGACTCCTTTTTGTTTTTTAGCTTGTTTTTTTCATATACCCTTATTTTCTGTTATTTTTCTCAATGAAAGCTTGGTTCCTTACGAAAAAAGTATTAAATCTCTAGGGTTATGCTTCAATTCTTTATTTGAGGCTTCCTCCTGGTTTTCGTATTATTCTTCGTGGGAGAGATGTCGAACACCATAACGTAGTGAATGATATGATGATGTCCCAAGAGGTCACGTACAGACCTCAGCCAGTTGCTGAGGGGGTTGTCAAAGATACAAACGTAATGCTCTTGATTTTCTTTTCTTTCTTGAATGTTCATATTTGCTATGCTCTGCGGTGCTAACTGCTTGCAGATGTTGTTCTCAGATGGTTGCAGTTGTAACCATTGGGTTTGTGAAGGATGCAAAGCATCACATAGATGTTCAAGGATTCAATGTTTATCACAAGAATCGACTGATTAAGGTATGCATCTTTTATATGAGAGCTTGATGATTATGGATATATATATATATATATATATCTTTTTTTTCTTTTTTTTTTTTACCAGAAATGAGCCTTTTCATTGAAGAAATGATAAGAGACTAATGTTAAAAAAATACAAAAATTAGAATAGAGAAAGGAAAAATTGAATACATAACAAGACAACATAAAATAAAGATTTAGAGAATAAAAAAGCTTCCCAATTAAGGTAAAAGTCCTGCAAAGAAAATGGAATGATTTGGAAAGTGAGCACCAAAAGCTATAGTTGTATTTCTTTGGAAGTGTTTAGTTAAAGTTTTTCTTCTCATACGTGGTCTCTTTTTTTTTTTCTTTTGAGTTCAACATTTGGACGTGATTACCATGGCCATTCCTTTCATGTGTTTTTATTATAACTATGATAATTTTTATGATTAATGTGAACTAGAGAAACTGTTGATGTTGTTAAGGTTTTCTTTTCTTCCTAATTTTTAGTTTTAAAATATTTTGACAATGAACTTGAAGTTTTCGTTGACATTTGAAACAACCTTTAGGGACAACGAACTAATTAACCTCCAGAGACAAAACAAGGCAACCTAACTTGCCAGAAAGCTTTCCATTTAGATCTCATCTCATTAGTTGAATTATTTTGCAACGATATGGAAAGAACAAGAATATGCCATGAAGCCACATAAGATCCTTTTGTCTCTTTCGTGCCAAATTTCAGAACCTAATAGTTTTGACAATGTTGACCCAAAGGATTCTAGATCTTCCTTTAAAGCTATGGCTGGAAAGGAGCATAAAAGTTATAATATGCTTGTTGAAGATTTCAGGTGCAACATGTAAACCATTAGTTTTTTTCATATTTTTTGCTTTTTTAATTGATTTTCAGGGCTTTCTGAGAAGTACACTTTTGATTATGTAATTATGCTTTTCCCTCCATGTTAAATATGAATGGAGTCATTAATGTTTCTGATTAAATTTTTTTTATTTGCCAGCCATTTTGGAGGCTTTGGAATGCTTCGGGAAGTGATGGTCGTGGAGTTATTGGTACTGTTTTGGCATATTTATTTACTGATTAATTCACTTATCAATAGAAGATTAATAAAAAAATGGAAATCTGATGTGGTCCATGTTCTGATAGCTCAATTATGCTGCAGGTGTTCTAGAAGCAAATTTTGTTGAACCTGCCCACGACAAGCAGGGTTTTGAGCGAACAACTGTACTTGCAAGACTTGAGGCACGGTTGATACAGATGCAGAAGACTTACTGGTTTGTTACTATGGTTAATCACTAGGTGGCATAATTTCAGCTGTTATCCATTCCTGAACCTATTATTTTGTCCTTTAGGGCTTCCTATTGTCATAAGATCGGCTATGCTCCAAGAAGAATTAATAAATTTACCAATCAGTCTCCGGATAGAGGTACATTGGTGTTTTTCGTTTGAGCTTTTCTTCTAAAACAGTCACAAACATTTCTTTGGTTAGGGATCAATTTGTTGCAAAACCAATTGTTTATCCATTTCTTTTTCAGTGATGTGAGTGATGATGTGTGCTAAATGTTATCATGGAGTCAATCTGTCACCAAGTCAATTCCATTGGCCCTCTGACATGTTTACCTTACTTTTGTAGAAAGTTCCCCCGATGATTATTCTTTGCAATCTTCACCTCAATCAAGAAAGAAAAGTGCAAAGACACCTGATAAAGTCTATTCAGGAAAAGATTCAGAAAAGTTTCAGAAAACAAAAGACTGTAGATATGTGAATGGGGATTCAAGTAAAGACAACAACAGCAGTATGGCCCCTGAGCAATCCAGGACACGACCATCTTCTAAGCCACCTTCACCTTCTCCACGAGAAGTTTGGGTGGATAGCCTGCATGGAGGACAGGCAAACAGTATTGGCAATGGGACGTTTCATGAGAAGGAACCTCATGGAAATGATGTTTCAGTGACGATGGAAGCGTCTTCAAATGGAGGAGTCAGTCAAGCTCAGGAAGTTGGATCGGGCTCAAGAGGACCCCAACTGAAGGTATATTATATTTTTATTTTTGTTTCTCATGTCCAAGTGGAAGCAAAACCTTAACTGGCTGGCATAAAATAGATGGAACAGTAGATACTTCTTCCAAATTCTATGCATTCTACATGGCCCCAAGGTTTAGGTACCTTAAATTTACATTTTTATTTCACAATTTTTTCAATTCCTTGAACTAAATAACTCGTCAAATTGGATTTATGAAAATACACCACATTCAATCTTCATGTTTTTATGCTTGCTGCTTGTGCCCATGCTTTCAGTAATGTGAATGGTAATCAAATGCACCTGGAGAAATTATTTATGTTTTTCTATATAAACTTGGAACAGTATTGATTTAAGTTTGCATTCCACTCTGGCAGGGAGGAGATGTAAACACTAATGAGCGTTCCCTTTCAAGTTCTGAGTTCCACATGCTACAGGAGGTGAAGGAAGAAAATGCAGAATTGAAGGAGAGGTCTGCGTTCTTTCTTCTGCTTATATAGTAATTGGCATTGTCTGGATGCCACTAAATGTTGGCGCTTCATGTCAATCCCTTTCGCAGATTACAGAGAAAGGAAGCCGATCTCAACGAATTGCAGCATGCAAGAGATGGGTGTAAATCACTTGAGGCTCAGGTGCGCATTCTATTTATGTTCTTCTATCTAGTATGTACTGCTGAATCAAATGGTGAATGCTTCTGTGATGGATCTATCAATTAAATTGCATTCCTCTAGTCGTGGGTAGGATGAATTTATTTTGGGAACTCAATTTGATAGTGCGAGCATTACATGGTGTTTGCCCCATTTGGTCATTTGTTGGGGAAAACGCGTTGGTCGATTGCAGATTATACGCCAGTAGAGATTTTGAACTTGGGGAATAAGAAACTGAGGGTCTTCTGTTTCCGCTGTCGTAGAATGATGCAAACTTATCTTAGTTTCCAATAGGATTTTCACGAATTATAAGGCTTAAATGATGTAACATTCTTGAAATTTAATTTGTTCCCTAATGTGATCCAGCTTAAAGCAGCAGAGCTTAAAATTGAGGAATTGAATAAAGAACAAGAAAGCCTAATAGATATTTTCTCAGAGGAGAGAGATCGAAGAGAGACTGAGGAGAGAAATCTGCGAAAGAAGCTCCAGGTGAGGTTACCACCGATCTAGTTGTCTTTCTCTGCTTACTTGCTTTTGTCTTGCAATAAAATTGTTCTTGCTCTGGGCGTCTACAGGAAGCATCCAACACCATTCAAGAGCTGCTAGATAAGATAAGAATACTGGAAAAACGTTAGCTCCTTGTAGAAACTTGGAGCTCTGGAGTTACCATTAACATTCTTTTGGCGGCACCTTCCTCATCACCGAATTCTCTCACGCCTATCGTGGCAATTGCCAAGCTAGGCCCTTGTAAACGAATACCGTCGATGCTGTTCCTGCAAAATTACTGTAAATTCCGTGTAGAGGAGAGGTATCAAACTGAAGAAAGTCTTGTAAATTGAAACCGAATGCAATCAACCGAATCATTATTCCTGCAAGAAGTTTCCAGTGGACACATTTACTGACCAATTTTGTAGATATATCTTTATATTACAATGTGGTTTGGTTTCTTCTATGTATCATTCAAACCCACACCCTTAAGTGTGAAGGTGGTAACAGACGAATTGAGAAATGGTAGAAAGAACGCAATGATTGTATAAAAATGAAGGTCTTCCATTGCATCTACAGCATCCAGAGCAAGAGCCTAAAGAAACAATTCTTTATCCGATTCCATTTATACACGAGAATGAGGCTGAATCGCAGGGATTGTGTTTCAAAGTATGGAACAGGAGCAGACAACCTTCTGGGGTGATGTATCATCAATCTTTTTCTCTGTTCAGAGGGATCATCATTCACATATTTAAGTAATGAGGATTTAATACATAAGTGACCCATCAAGAAATTTAATAGATGACAGAATTAGGACTCGATTGATTTTAAATTGAAATATTGTGATGAGTTCCGTTCATGTTTTTATTTTATAGCGCATTTGTTCAAGGCTAGAAATTAGGTACATTTTGAGCAATATGATTTTTTTAAATCACCAACAAACAAATTCTAGAAAGCAGCCTACAAGACGATTAAGTAATATGATTTAATGGCATTGAATTTACAAATATAATAAGCAAATCCTAATTGCTTAACTTAACAAACAAATAATTTACGGTAAAATGATTTAGGATAGATGAATATGTTTCTAAGAAAAGTAATTTTAAAGATGGCCTTCTAGTGAAACTGTGTTCCAGCTCCAAAAGGCAACTTCTAGCCTCCACACATTGGCTTAATGGTAAAAAAGGTCAATGAATGCAAGTTAGCCACCAAGCTGAAATTTCGTATTCTAAAATTTAAATTGACAACTGAATGTTGGTTAAATAGATGGCCTGTTAGTCGCAAATTAGCTCTAAAAAAACGCAAAATTTTGCATTGTTCCATCTTATCCATTATTCCTCTATTTTACGTAACTGTTTTGAATACGAAAAAAAAGTCTACAGCGAAACTGAAAGATAACTTCCGAAAGCACATGCGAGTGTTTGATCAGAAAAGTAGTGGGATAGAAACAGTCTGAGGGTGGAGCTGTGTATGGGCAACTTAAAAAATGATAAATTGAGGCTCTCTGAGCTAAATGGGCCTAAATGGTGTTGGAGGTTTACAGTAGCCTGGAAGATGTGAAATCAATTGGTTTCTAGCACTTATGTGAAGGGGGGGATTGAACTGGTATGCAAAACCAAAACAAAGGGGAATTATAGAAGTCCTAGGTGTTATGTCTCCAGATGGATTTCAACAATCAGTAACGAGAATGGAACAAATTTTCAGTAAAGGCAAACTTCCCAAGAAAAAATCAAGAATCAAGGGTGGAAAAAGGCAGTGAGGAAACCAAGAGGACCAGGAAAAGTTAATGTTGAGTGGAAAAAGGCGTTCTTTTCTAAGGGTGATAGTAGTTTGGAAAAGTTTGGACCAGTCACTGTTGAGTGGCTTCTTATTTGTGTTTAGGGTCCCAGTGGCTATTAGTAAAAGTTTGTGCGAAGTTTATAAGAGATTATCTTCGAGGGGTTATTAAGTTGGATGAGTGTTGACATTTGATTGGGTGGGGGGTGGTTCTAAGCTGACCAGGACTTGGGTATGGAAACCTCACCCTAGCTGATGCATTTTAAAACAGTGAGGCCGACGACGATATGTAACATGCTAAACCATACAATATTTGCTAGCGGTGGGCTTAAGCTGTTACAAATGGTATTAGAGGCAGACACCCGACGGTGTGCCAACAAGGATACTAGCCCCTAAGGGGGTGGATTGTGAGATCCCATATCAGTTGGAGAAGGGAACAAAACATTCCATATAAAGGTATGAAAACCTCTCCTTAGTAAACGCGTTTTAACATAATGAGGCTGACGGCGATATGTAACGAGCCAAAGCAGACAAAATCTGCTAGTGATGGACTTGGGATGTTATATGGGCATTTAGAATGAGGCTTTGCAACGAGGCTTTGAAGGCCAAACACTTATGGTGTTTTCCTTTGGAATTGATGGCTAGAATTATTGAGAGCAAGTAGTCTCCATTCTAAAAATGGGCCCCGAGTGATTCCGTGTAGAGATTTGTAGAAGGAGTCAGAGGGCCTGGATCACATTCTCAGACATAATGGTTGCTATTGCAATTTGGAACAAGTTTTTGGAGTCTTAGGGTTGTACTCTTTAGAGCTCTTTGTTTTTTGCTACCTTATGAGGGGGTTTGGCTTGAGGAGAGACATAGGATAATTTTTAGTGGGTAGAGAGGTCTTGGAAAAAAGTCCGGTACTCTGTAAGATTTGTTACTTTCCTCCAATGCCTATTTCTAAGATTTTTTGTAATTATCCTTTGGATCTGATTTTCTTGGATTGGAGCCCTTTGTTATTCAACCAGTTAGTTTTTTGACAGCTCCTTCTGATGAGCTTTATAGTAATGATCTTTAATGCCTTTATTAACATCAATGGAATGTTTATGTTTCCTATAAAAAGAAAAGAAAAAAAAGATCCCCTAATTTACTCTTTAATTTTTTTCAATCAAAGTTCGTTTTTCGTTATAAAAAAAGAGGTGAATTTAGCTGAAAGCCATTCTCCTTTCCAGAGTTTGATCTCAAATTGATTTAGTAATTACTCCTTTAATGAAGTTTCTTCTAAGGCTTCCTTGGGCTTCTTCTTGTACTTATATAACATGAAGCAGTTTTCTTATGTCCCACAGGATTTTCTTAGTTGGGAGGCTTTCTTTCTTTATTTTCCAATGATCAATGGAAAGTTCTTTATCTGGTTGAGCATATGTGTGTCTGTAGCTGGAGGCATACAGGATCCTAAGGAAAGCTTCGTTTGTATGTCACCTAAATAAATGTTGGTAAAACATAGACAAAGAATTACCGGCATTCAGATGGCAATTCCAACTCTCAAGGCCACGACCATACAAGTTGGCAAACTATAGAATAATGCAGAAAAGGTAAACGAAAACATATAAAAGTAAAATTTAAAGAGGAACGATCTATGGACAAGAAATTATATATATAACTAAAATCACAACGAAAATCACCTGTCTTGGCTTTTGCTAGGGATGGTTGTACAACAACATGCATTATAATAACTCCTCCCGTGAACTCACCAAAAGGTAATTTACACTGACCAACAGTCTTATTATTTTCCAAAATTTTGCCCGAACTGATCAGTTTTACTTCACTGGCTGCCTTTGGAGTGACTGTTTTGCCTAACAAAATAATAATAATAATAATAATAATAATAAATAAATAAATAAATAAACCGAAAGGTAAAAAGAAAAAAGGAATTAATATATTGACCAATTCATAGAGCGTGTTCAGGAGAAATCTAGAGAATGAAGTATGTTAATAAGAGACTCCAAACTACGCGTGTAAGAGTTGGATTTCAACAGCTTCTAATAGAACCGATAGATATTAACAATTCCACATACGTCCAGAAGCACACAAGTAAAGGAAGGGACTTAAAAGAAAAAAGATCAAGAGATCTGCTATATAGAATAGAGAGCACCGTAATCACATATGCATTTTTGTGAAAGAATGATGAAAGATATCCAAATGTCAGAAATCACGCTAATAAAGTATCTACAAGGGAGAATAATGAAGAGTAAGGTTCCAACCTTTGGGCCAATCAGACACTATTCTCTGCTTAAGCACATCAACCGTCGAGGCGGAGGAGTATCGAAAGGGTCCAACATCAGAACCATCGTACAGCCTGAACTTGATGTCAATCAAATCGTCCTCCGGCATCTGATTAGAGTATTCCTCGGAAATTGTTCGAGTGTGTGATCCCGACGTCGGATTGATAAGGAAACGCGCTCAAGTAATCCGGTGCCCTAGGAGGCGCACAGCAATTCCAATAGCAAAGAAGCTAAAAGGATTATGGATGTGAATACCAAAAACGATCCGGAAAGGAAATAAACTCTTTAGAAAGTCAAAGAGGAGACTACCAGAGGGACGAGGTTGGGAGGCGGTTCTTTCAAAACCAGCCAGAAGATTATTATTATTATTTTTAAATTGATGTATCTATTAATATTATTGAGGTGGAGAAAGGACGCGGTCTTCAGCACTCTCTCTGGCATTTGGTCCGACGTCGCTGCGCTTAGGAACCATACGATGTCGTTTTAAGTGTTTGCGGTTGAATTTCTCCTGAATCAGCAGGTCGAGCATCAATGGGCGTGGAATCGTGAATACCTTGCTACGCTTATTGTCCTGTTTTGTTTTTATGATGTGAATTATGAGTTGGTTCTCAAACCCCTAATTCCATTTAAAATTTAATTGGTAGTCATAATATTGTGACTCTTCAATGGCTATAAGCCTCCTTTGGGTATTTCAATGCAGCAGCTTGGTCACAATGGCATGCCAAATTAAATATATTCAAGTAAGGTCCGCTGTGCTGTTTAGATGTGATAATTTGACGGTAACATACCAGAACACAAACACCTTCCAAAAGCATGTTTCAAATTGAAAAAAGAAAAGAAATTACATCAAATTTTCAAGCAATGAGGCCTCGCAGAATTTTTGTATAAGATAGAAAATTTCCCTTTTTTCAAATTGGAAGAAGTATATATATTCTTTTGATGGGGAAAAAAGTATAGGGATAGAAATACTCTTGCAACTTTCCAAAATTACCCTAATTGCCTTAGTACTCGAGCAGTATCCCTAAGGAGTATTCTAGACCTTTGAACTCATCTCAAAATCTATAAATAGCCCTCTTCTTCTATCTGCAAACCCTCTAAGAGAGATGACCTAGCTTCTCCTGTACCAAAAGAGAAACGCACATGGGAAAAACAGAATACAGCATGACCTCAGTAACCAAAGAATTTGAAATATCATATGAAAACTTCACAATCACATAAAAGAGAAACATGTCCTTCATGTCAATGTTCCTAAACACATCATTACCAATTTACCAGAAACCATTTATACACAAGAATATGGCCGATAGCAGCCAAGTTTTGAAGGATGATTTACCAAACGAATCATATCATTCGTGTTGTGTTTCAAAGTATGGAACAGGAGCACACGATCTTCTGTTGCGAATTGTCAGTCTTTTTCTCTGTATCATCAACATATCTCAGTAAATATTTGATATCACAGCAAATAATTACCAGACTCATCGGAAAAACAAATTTGGATAGTGACCACATGATTTAATCTAGTTTTACAATGATCATTTTCAAGAATTGACTAGAAACCCATAGCAGTCACATAAACTTATTTATACAGGTAACTTTCTATTTTTCATTCTTCTTGCTCGTCAAGGGGTACATACATAGCTGTGGATATTGTTTGGATATGCATTCAATGGAATCAAGAAAGAACAATTGATAATCAAACAGAAGAAAACAAATCCACAGATGAGATCCTAGACTGCCACATTGGCAAACTTAGTTTAAATTTGATTTGACTATACCCTCTTTATTTTGGAATCAGAAGTATGTTTTAGCTTTCATAACAACTTTGTCAACCTTCATGGAAATAAACGATGTTTTCATAGAATCCCAAGTAATCATATGTGAAGGTGAAACATAAAGAAATTCTAAGCAATTATAGAAACTTATAGTCATGTTTCATGGAAATAAGAGAGGTTCTTATAGAATCAGAAGCAAGCATATGTAATCGTGAGATATTAGTTAATGTATTAATCAAAATTAAATCTTTGCAATATGGAAATTAGAGCAAGTCAATTACATAAGGCTAGTTAATACATAATTTCTATATTGTATAATAAAAATAATATAACAGATTTTAATAGTAATTAATAGTTAATTAACTGTAAACTTAACAAAATAAAATAAATAAATCTGGAAGATTTTTTTGATTTTCCTCGGCCCTCACAACAATCCAAGTTCTTTCTTCTCTAGTTTATTCTAGTTTTTCCAATGATAAAAGAATATGAAAAGAAGAAAAAAGATAAAAAGGAAAAAATATTGAAGAGAGAAGAAGCAAGAGTAGAGAAAAGGGCCAAATCAGGAAAAGAATAAGAATGGGTAGGAGTGGATATTTTGAATCTTTAGTTAAATCTGCAAGGCTGACAAGAATTTTTATCATTACTAGTAGATCCGAATAATAAACCAGCCTAAGCCCTTAGAAAATATCTATCTTAAATAACAAGCGACTTGTGTTTATTTGGTCCTTCAGCTTTCAAAAGTATCTAATAAGTCTTTAAATTTTCAACTTTGTGTTTAGGTCACCGAAAAATTTGAAATTTTTTAAAACTAATTGATCTAATAGGTATAAAATTGAAATTTGTAATTTTAAAAGTTTATGAACCAAATGGACACAAAATTTAAGGACCATACACACACTTCACTCATTTGGCCTTCTTAACCACTAGGCCAACCCATGTACTACTTTCACTTTTCGCTGCATACTTTGTAGAGGAGTAATAGTCAATGAGATGATCCTATGACTTTGGGTTAAATGAAATGGTTTAGCTACAACCTGAAACAGTTATTGTCTTAACCATTCAAAGAAAGCACTCAAAGACACTTCTTCATTTAAAAGCCACAGGCAGTAGTTCAGGACAAGCTTAGAAAAAAGGGATAACATCTGCGGCAGAATAAATGAAGAAAGAAGGTTCTCTGAAAGGCTCATGATAGCTAACTCATGGGACCACTTGCTAAGATTCGGCATTCTAGTTAGCAAAGTCAGACTTATAACTCAAAAGCACTAGTCAAAGCTGATTGAATGCTCTAAGAATGATTTTGAAATTGTTATATCTCATTAACTTCAGAAAGAGCAACAAAAACAGTTGTTAGTGATTAGCATCAGAAGAGTATTGACCTAAGTTCAAGCCAAAAAAGACCAACAAATGGATAACTGTATCAGTTCAGAATACGGTTCCAACTCCTAAGACCTCATTTATATAGACTTGTCGAACTACATCCAGAGTATTTGAAAAACCATCGGGTATAGGACAAAATGGAAAATATATTATTACTGTAAAATTTTAAAAGGAACAATCTATGAACAAGAAATTTATATTTATAGCTAAAATCTCAAATGTAATCACCTGTTTTAGCTTTTGCTAGGGATGGCTGTACAACAACGTGCATTATAGTAACTCCTCCAGTGAACTCACCAAAAGGTAATTTACACTGACCAACAGTCTTGTTATTTTCCAAAATTTTTCCAGAACTTATCAGTTTTACTTCACTTGCTGCCTTTGGAGTGATTGTTTTGCCTAAAAGGTAAAGAAAAATCGTCCCAAAAGGGAAAAGGAGAATCAATATGAAAACAAATGCAGAGGAAAAAAGAAGAAGATTAGAAGCCCAGTGAAAGAAAGACACTTCTTCAGAGAAACCTCAAACACAGGCATGAGTTCCTAATGGTAAACGACACACATCAAAGAATTGAACATGCGTCCTCTGAACGAGCGCGTAAATCAAGAATAAAATATCTACGCAGAGCTGTCTGCCAAGAATAAAATATTAGTCCTAAAAATAGATTTCTTAAGCTAGCAGCCTATAGTACTAAAAAAAAAGGAGGATCAACAGACTCTAGACATGCAATTAGGAAAGCCGGAAGTCTACTTAGCGTTTGCATTCAAAGGACATACAGAAACCTAAACGTGAGAAATGATTACAAATTGAGTACTTATAATTGAAAAGAATAAGGAGAAGATGAAGAGCTAAGCTGGAACCTTTGGGCCAATCGGACACTATTCTCTGCTTAAGCACATCTATTGTCGATGCGGACGAGTATCGAAATGGTCCAATATCAGAACCATCGTAGAGCCTGAACTTAATGTCAATCAAATCGTCCTCCGGCATCTGAGTTGAGTATTTCACAATCAGGTATAAGTGTTGGATCCCGACCTTGAATTGATCAGAGACGCGGCCCAATATCCGGTGCCCTAGAACAAATTCACAGGAATTCCAACAGCAACGAAGCTGAAGCAATTGCAGGAGTGAACACCATGAAAGATCCGGGAAGTAACTTTGAATAAAGTGAAAAGAAAACGACAATCAAGAGAAGAGAGAAGAGACCTTGTGAAGCCGTCGATCAGGCAAGGCCAAGGCAGAGTTTCCTCTCAGCTGCAGGCTTTTCAGAAAGAAGAATATTATTCAATAAGAAATTCGATATATATATTTCTTTCCCAAATTATGAATCTATAAATATTATTTTAAGTTGTTGAACTGAGGAAGAAGACAAAGTAAGCGCTCGCTAAGGCAGACCGATTCGAAATCGATGCGGTCTTCTTGACTTTATGTCACGTCACGACGCCACACCACACCGCACCACTGGCGCTTTCTCCGGTTCGGTTCGGTTCGGTTGGCTTATAGAATTAAACGGTGACGTTTTAGTCGGGCATCCACACTGTGTCTATTTGGCGGGCTCATCCAAAAGCCAATACCGTCGATATGACCTCCGTAAAGCCGCCTAAAGCAGCAAAATGACGAGCAAAAGGAAGAGGGGAGAAGAGGGCATGGGAGAAGGAGAGATCGTATGGCAAACCCCAGCCAATGCCCCTCAACGATGCGATTACATATTTCACAATGGTACAAACTAAAAGCCCTCTTTTGGGGATTTTCTTTTCGTTTTAGTTTCCAGTTTGGATTAATCAGAGTTCTTTGCTAGGGAGGCGGCACGTTAGACCTTACTACTTCGAGTTCATTGCCCATGTAAGTGCCTTATGGGTTTCCTTTCTTATTTTTCAGTTTAAACTGTCACAAATGTGCGACTATTCAATCTAATTTCAAACTCGTAATTGGAACTTTATATCTACAATTTGCAGGTTAAGAATCGATGGGCCGGCAAATCCATTGTCGACTTGTTTACTGAAGAGTTTAAAGGCCGACCATACGAGTACTATGTATGGTCTTTTTCTTGTTTAATGTGATCATTTGGTCTCAGCTTTTGTCAGTTATTGTATTGTTTGAATCAAAATATAGATTTTTCCTTGTTTTCATGCCTTACTGTGTGGAACTTTGTTTCTCAGATTGATGCAGTCAAATGTGGTCGCATACAAGTCGATGGGGAGATGGTGCCTACATCATATATAGTTAAAACATCTCAAAAGATAAGCCATTTCCTGCACAGGTATATGTTCTCCACGTTGTAGTTTCTGGTAGTATTTTAAAGGCTTATGGTTCACGGTTGGTATAAACTACGTGGCTATGATTCTCTTTAATTTACATTTTCTGTCTTAATTTTCTTTACTCAAAGCTGCATTATAGAGTTTTCAAGCTTGTAATTGATTTCACAAGGGCTGTAGGCATGAACCGCCTGTAATGGCTTTGGAGGTGAAAATTCTCAAAGAAGAAGCAGATGTGCTGACGGTTTACAAGCCTGCGTCTGTTCCAGTGAGTCAGATTGGCAGTATGAATTTCATATGATGTCATTAGTATTGCAAGCTCTCAATACATGCCCCGTAAACTTTTGAGTTTTAGTGTACACATTCCTCTTGTCTGCCATTGTTTGTTTTTCTTTTAAGTAGATTTTCCGTCACTTGTGTTTCTATTTAATTAGCAATATCTAATGTAATATAGGTTCATCCATGTGGTCAATATAGGAAGAACACCGTTGTTGGCATACTTCAGGCAGAGCATGGTTTGGCACCTCTATTTCGTATCCAACTTCCATTTCCTTCTTGTAGCTATTATGCTCTTGGCTTAGTTCTGTTAAATTGATAACGAATAAACTTGGTTAGCATACTTTATCCACCGGTTTGAAGGGTAACCCTCTTCTTCCCTTGACATAATCATGTCAGCTATACATCGACTAGACCGTCTTGTCTCAGGACTTCTTATCATTGCTAGAAATGCATCGAAAGCTGATCTTTTCAGACAACAGGTATGCCTTATTCTTAAGACTTTCTTCTTTAGCTATATGTAGTTAATGAAAAGGGAATTCATTTTCATGGAATTTTTATGTTGTGCAGTCTTCTAAAATTTTGTAATCAAACTTGTACAGTGGCTTTTCTTCGGTAGACAACTTCTAACTGTCACATAATGGTTTTCAATGTGTGGACATGTGTCCAGAGCATGTTCGGCCTACCATGTCCAACACAGATATTCTGCCTAAAACAAAGTTCTTGAGATTTCTAGATTATGACTTACAAGATATACAAATAATTAATGTTTAGTTTATAAAAAATATTTAAAATATGAATAATTAGGGGATAATTTGGTATTTTAATAAGACAAATGTAAGGAAAACAAAAAAAGTGTAACTCATAAAAATTTGGAAACTGAAGACAATATAAACTGAAGAAGCAATTTTGAAGGGAAAAAAAAAAAAAAAAATCCACTTGCACTGCGAGTTTTTCTCGTTAATAGTCTTGTACTGTACACTGTAAATAGTTAAATTCAAATTTTCTGCACATGTACAAACTAGGAACTGATGAAACTCACTTAATAGGAATGCTTGCTTTCTGCAGATTGAGTCTGGGCTGGTGAAGAAACAGTACATTGCAAGGGTGGTGGGTGTGTTTCCAGAAGAAGAGGTATTTCTTCTTTATTTTAGTCAAGTCGTGTTTTTCTCTTCTGTCTTCAATTATTTATCAAACTGTTCCTTCAATTATGACTAGATTAAAGGGTTATTTTTAGATTCTTCTTGTAACAGAAGAAATCCTTTTGATAAAGGGCAATTCAATATACTCCCTCCGAAATGGAGCTCTGATTGTCTTGTCCTGGTTTGCTTGGACATGTGCGTGTGTTTTGGCTTGTCGTCTGTGCTCATTATAGGCATGTGGTGTTGTTAGAAGAGTATGAGATCGAACACTCAGTTCTTTTGACACAAAGGAGTATAAATGTGTATCAAATTTTTTGTTCAGTCTCAAGCATAATACCCAGTTATCTGGAGAACTGTGGTGTATTTTTATATTTGGTGAAATCACCTCATAATATTGATATTCTATTTCTATTAGGCATCTATCTGATTATCTGCTTCACTTTATCCTGGATTTGATTTCAGCAAGTGGTCGATGTTCACATAAACTACAATGCTCGAGAGGGAAGGAGCACAACGGAGGTGAGGCTTCATTTTCTACACTTGTCCATATGGACTACAGTTACTTAAAAAGAGGAAGTGGATAATAAGGGAATGTACATTGTTGACAGTCAAATGTGGTAGGGTCAAATGGTTGTCCTATAAGAACAGTCAAAATGCACACAAGTTAACGGTTGTCTTATAGTTGAATTGGTTTGAACTCCCTACGTATAATAAAGAAATTAAAAAGATGGAGTTTAATTCGCAGTGTATTGTTCTGTTTTCCTAAAACAGAACAGTACGGCTATTGTTATAGGTCTAAAACAGGTTTATTCCATAGCCATTATATTATCATGGATAAAGTTTGTGAGAGATCTGTTGCTCCTTTGGCTCCTAGTGTCGTCCTCTTGAGTGGAAGCGTATTTGTCTGACTTTAGTATTGACACAACAGATGGTTGATTCTTGCAAGGATACTATGGCAAAGGGGAAGGCCGCTCAAACAAAGTTTACTTGCATCGGTTCCGATGGAGTCCATAGCATTGTTTTATGTGAACCGGTCACTGGACGAACTCATCAAGTAAGTGTAATGTTTGGAATATTGTCCACCCTCTTTTGCATGAGACCTCCCCTTAATGATATTTCGTACGTTTGAATGATCCATGTATGTTTGCTTCCTCTCCTTTCTTATGTTAAATTGGTGTGTTGTGGTATCCCTGCAATGCAGATCCGTGTGCATTTGCAGTACACAGGGTATCCTATTGCCAACGATGCACTCTACCTTACAAAAGTAGCTTCTGGTCGCTCCGTGGAAAAAACAACTGCGGATAGAGCTGCTGCGATATCTGCGTGTTCTACAGCACATGATATTGAAGAAGATTGTGTTAGTGCACGCAAAGAAAACTCAAGTGAAGATTTTAGCATTGACCCCATGTGCACAAACTGTCCAAATCTGGCTCCAAAAGGGTGAGAAACTTTTATTCCACAGGAAGATTTTCTGGTTTGATTCCACTGAAAATGTAACGATGTCCATGAGTGTCGCTTTGAACATGCTTCGTTATGTGCAGATATGACGGAGAAGAAGAGGGATTGTGGCTGCATTGCGTTCGGTACTCCGGACCAGGATGGATCTACGAATGCCCATATCCAGAATGGGCTTCACTTAAATAGACTTCGTATGAAAAGTGTATTTTTGGATTCAAGTTTGAGAAGGCTGGATGTGGGTATGAATATGATTCTTCGTAGAGGACCCAGTTTTTGGGATATTTGTGTTTATTATGAAAATGATGAAAATGAAGTGGGAGAGAAATTATGTGGAATTTGGAGGGATAAGTGAGTGTGAGCTGCTACAACAGGGCATGCCACGCCATGCGATTCCAAAAATGATTCCAAGTACACCGACGCATGTACTTTTACAGTACCACCAACCCCTTGTAACATAATAACTTCAACAAGCTCTCCTACCACTTGCCCCACATTGCCTCCATCCGAGTCACCCCACTACTTTTGTATTATTATACGCAATGCTCCATTGGCCATGTTTGGTGCATCTTTTGGAAGTGGGTGTTATATTTTGGAATGAAAGAATTAATTATGGTGAAAGATTCGGAGGAGTGCGTGGTCAAAGAGAAATATATATAAGTTAGAGATATGATTACAAACAACATCATCGGGCTTAATCAAAGCTCGCTCTTGTGGCTTACTGCCACCGACACCAGCACCGACACGGCAATATTGTTTACTACACTAATTATACTAATTAAGCAAAAACTAACTCACCACTTAGCCTTCCAAAACCACAAACAATTCAGAGTACACACTAGTAGCTAGTTATTTAATTAGCTGTTGCTTGTTTTGGATGTCGATGACGGCTTCCACCACCACCTCCATGTTTGACTGAAGAACGGCGACGGGGCTTAGTTCAGTGCAAACCATATTCCCAAGTTTTACGACGTCCATTATTTGTTCTGACAGTTGGTGAAGCTGTGGCTTTGGCTCTTCTTTTATTGGGATGCTTTTCTTCGCATTCTTGAATATCATGAACAGGATCATCTGAATTATACCGAACACGAACCCGACCACGTTCGGTAGCTGCTTCATCCAAATCAATATTATTATTACTAACCTTCTTTAATTTTTTGTGTTCCATAAAATTGTGCTTCT